TCAATCTCTATTGTGATGTCATCAATTTCATCGTCGTCAAGACTTAATATACTGTTCAAAGGACTGTTCTAAATAACTAAGCAAAGCGTAACTACTCAAAATGCAAATATTGTTATGGTCCTGTAACAATATTTCTATTGCTGACATTCATTGCTTAATTAAAAGGTTTGTTCATTGCATTGCATATGTCTTCACAGGTTGTAAGTCTCCAGACTGGTATTCAAATGATGACACAGGTAGCTTTAAATATGTCAGTTACAAACTGCCACACAAGTGGAGGATGCTCCCAAAACGTCCTGCAACCAATTGTTGATGTCATTTGCGAGATGAAACGAATGCTCATACACGTTGCTGTGGACCCAGATATTTTCAGAGCGATGATGAGCTACAATACCATGGACAGAACGGAACAGACATTGTTTACGTGCGCTAGTCTAAGAACAGCTCTTGAAATCCTCCGTTTCTTGGAAAACGACATTAACAGAATTTTCAGAAATTTGCCATAAAATGTTATTTATTTCGAAAAGAATTTACTGCATAAAAGCAGCCTCACTTTTCTGCAACAATGGAATAATCGTTGAATAGCATGTAGTCCTTGATTAAGACCTTTGTTTTATGTGTATTTTAGCTGAAATTAAAATATAAATTTTAAGAAACTTTGAATTTTGTTTTTAGAAATATCATGTCATTCAAACCTATTTAGAAACAAATATTAATAAAAAATAATATAACTTCGTTCTCATAGTTCAAAATGTTGAAAGATGAATGTAACACACACACAGATGACTGCACATTCTGTAAAAGATACAGACACAGTATACCAGACATGAATTACACTGCATCCTCCAGCTATTGCACCCTTCTAAGACTCATCAGTGATGCTAGGGACCAAACCTTTGCAAATCCAAATTGGTTTACACTATGCTAAAACAGAATGGGATATGCTTAAAAACCCTTGTTTTAGGAATTCAAATTTTTAGAGAAGTACTGGTTAAATTCAAATTTAAAAAAAAATCATAATATAAGGAATACGTATCTGTTATATACAAGGTCCGTCGTTTAAAGGGACATCACGTGAAAAGGCGTTTTTTTTTTAATGAATGTATGTATTGTATGCCCTTCCACTTATGTTACCTCGCTATCCCCATATTCATAGTCCGTTCCAAATGTCCAGTTTGACCACTTGAATTGTTCGGGAAAGCCCGGCTAAAAATAGCGCCGATAACGTCACCTGATTAGGCAGCAAACACAAGTGGTGCGAGCGAGATGACACGGTTTACAAAGGGGCCCTCAGAGAGGGGCCGTCAGGCAACTGCAACTTCTTACCGCACTATGAAACCAAATTATATGATTTCTAATTCCGTATTCAAACTAATTGAACAGTAATTATTCATCATCAGAAGTTAATTGCACACTTGCCAATATTAAGAATTTAAATTTATTTAGCTTTTAACATAAATTTGTTGCCAATAAAATTAAACAAAGGATGGGGCACAAGTTTTTACAATTTATCACAGCCTTCTCCCGTGACCGGTACAGGTGGTACGGGTCTAAACACTCCCTCAACAATGGGACAACCCTTTCTGTAAAAAGGAATATTCACGAGACGAATATCCCTTTTCAAATGTGTACATAAAGTGCATATATGCAATGACAAACTACACGCGAATATAAAAATGAAACGTTTGTGAATTTATTTAATACATTAAACAACTCAATGTCTTTGGCCATTTTTTTTCTAGACCATGCATATAAATCTATGTATACTCTCTTTCCCACTTTCACTGTCTCCAAACGCTAACATTTAGGAAGTCATATTAACCATCACACACAATAAACTGTATGGCAAAACCACTACGTGAACATGTAGAATATGTGACAATAAGGAACGTGTTGAGATACTTGATAATTATATTTTTTCAATACTTTACAGAGATTAAAGCATACTTTTAAATGGACCCTTTTTATGCTGAGACAACTTTTCTTTAATCAGTTCCTTTGGTCCGAAACAGAAGCCGTAGTTATCGGCAGCACGCGCCATTTTTATAACGTAATCAAATATTTTTCCCCTGTTTTCAATACGTATTCCGATTCTATCTGAAGTCGAAAATTTATTCTTTATAGAGAAAAGGTTGTTCCATGATCATACATTCTAAGTCAACATCATATGAAAACAAGAACTGTTGTAAAATTGCGATTTAAAAAAAAAGTGTTATGCGATCCTATTTACTAGAAGTAGGTTCTCCTTCCTCAGTTATTCATCCTGGTCCGTCATTTTGACATTTTTAATCTAGCTGCGATAACGTAGCTTTCTGACGAAGAGCGATTTTTTTTTTATATATTGCGTCGTCGCGCCAGGGCAGGCCGGGTATTATATTAGTACTAATTTAAAACTTGCATGTCAAAACAAAAAACAATCGTTTAATTCAGCAATATAATTAAATAATACCATTTTACTGATCCCGGTAATATTATAAATCATGTAAATCTAATAGCGCACGTATCTCATTTGACCCCGAGCACCGACAGAGGATCAGAGAACAGAATACGCCGTGTCCATCACAGCAGTTATCCCTGGGGGGGCCTCATGGCAAAATCAAACTAACCAGTCACTTATCCCTTTCGTTTGCATAAACCACTGTATAATTATAAAAAACACAAAGCAAACTCTCTCCGATACATGCCCATTAACATATTAAACTAAGTTCATCTGTGTTCAAACTCACACAATGATACTAGCGAGGTTAATAGTTTTAGATATTTATTCATAACATAAACAGCGCTAGCATTTCTGTCGATTTTATTTCAGCTTAACCGGCCGCTATCCGGAAGAAAACATGCACCGTACTGACTGCTAGGGCAGTTATTTTCTGCTTTGAATACTTCCCACTGGCAATAATGATTACGTAACGTACCCCTTGCGCTATCTTTTGACCATTTGGCAACTATTCGCTTCGTAGCTGCCACGGTACAACCCTTTTCTTTGGCTTACTTCACACGGCCAGTCATTTTGTTCACAAAGAAATGGTGTGCTATGCGCATGCGCTAGTAGAGGGAAATCCCTGAACAAAACGTTGGTCAGACAGGTAGAAATACCGATGATTATCTTAGATTTAATCATTTTTATGAATCTATTTCAGCCAAATCCGATCGGCATTTTCCATAAGGAGTCTTACTTGATATGTTTATGTAGTATTTGGAAAAAAGACAAAAAAAAAAGTTACTTCAGCGTGATGCCCCTTTAACTGTATTGTTCTACTAGCAAGAAAAACGATTGATCGTTTGAACGGGTTAATTTTAGGACGGTTTAATATATTTTTGAATGAAAGACTAAATTATAGGATGCTGGTTTGTTATGAATCATAGAGAAATCTCAGTCAAATGCGTTTTTACTGAAATACTAGGTTTTAATTTTTACGTTTTTAATATTTTAGTGATTTTTGCCGTAGAATTTTCATCTTTCAGTTCTTCAAAAAATAAATATGTTAACTGGTAATACATTTTACAGTCCACAAGCCGTTTACATTAGCAAATATAATATCTTAATTATTTAATCATTATAAATGATGATAGTATACTATCGCGTCATAAGAACTATCTACGATTGCTGGTAACAAAGTGCAAATCATTACATATGCACTATAGTGTAAACTTGAATATTGCAGGTTCTTTTTATAATTTTTAAATATTATTACTTTGCACATCGTTTTTTTATCTTTGTTCTCACCAAACTGATTAACAAAATGATCCTATCAAAATTGAAACTACTGATCGCAATATTTACAAATAAGGAACATATAATGCCTGAATATACCACAAAATATCCACAATAAGCCGCGACTTGTTTTCGTTTTTTTTTTTTTTTTAATTCCAGCTTATTTTCGAAAGTTGCTTATTTTCTAACCGTCTTATTTTCGAAGCCATTTAAACGGTAAGGCATGAACGACTACTTTTTAAGGCTGTCTTACATGTGAAGCCTTTTAATTCGTTCATGCTATAGTTGCGTTATTGCTATTTAAAATCACAAGCATTTACAATAAGCTTTCGTTTAATTAACGCAGTATTGAGGTGCTAAATAAAATATGACGTTAGGTGGGGCGCAAACACCAAAGTTATAAATATTGTCAGGCGCACTAAATTTACATAAATAACATATAGTTTCAGGCGCACCACATTTCCTCAAATTTATAGATATTTTCAGATTTGTTTATTCGACTGTTGACTGCGAATTAACTGAATCCAGGGTATATTTTCAAGGATAGCCTACCTTCGAAACCGATTCACTTTTGAGGCAAGTTTGACTGCAAGGAATCCCATGCTAAATTTCAAAGCCTGCCTTTTTCAAATCAGACTTATTATCGAGATTAGGGTGTAGCCTATTGGTATGATATGATTACTTGGTGAAAAAATAAATGATGTACGCTTTATATGGCTAATTTCACTTATCATATGCTAACGATGTACTGCCGAAAAACAGATTTATTACAAATAGAGCAAAAAAACAACAATAGAGATGATCAGACTTCCGTAATATTGTTGACGTCTGCTTCAGTTATTCGAAACTTAAGTGTGGTGACTCTTGCTTATTTGTCTAAAGAGGAATCGAGTTGGGGCAATAGGGTCGGGGAAACTCGAGCATGTGAGGGGAACACAGTGTTTTATTTCCACATCATGGCATCAATATTATCCAATCAATCACGCTGTGATATGGATGAGGTATAACAGTACTCATAATATGTAATATTATAATATGAATATTTATGAAAGGATACTTTAAAGAAAACAAAGTTAAGAGCGAGTGTCCTCAGAACCGCCAATATTCCTGGTTATAGGAAACCATGGTAGGACAAACTTAAAAATTCAACTATACGGAATGGAAACTGTAGAGTTGACATGCATGGTACAACTGCAACATTATATAGTTGCAATATTTAACGTTTAACTGTATGTAATAACAACTTTCAGGAAGAATTATAACCGCACAGAATATTCATGTTTGAAATGGCAATTTTAATGAGATCAAAGTGTAAACATCGCAAATCAGATATCCGTACAAACACATTGCAAATGACTAAAGACTTTGAAACAATATACAACCAGAAAACATTTTTCCCGTACACATCAACATTCAAGATAAGGTTTTTGTACAATAATCTTGCAAATGACTAAAATCTATGAAGCATAAATAATAAATTTGAATCAAGAAAACATTTTGTCACATACATAAATGTAAATGTTGCAGATCATATTTCTGTACAAAATCTTTACATATGACTATGAAACATGAATAATGAATGTAATTAAAGAAAACATATTGTCACGTACATATGATCACATACACACTCCAACAAATCACAAGTCACCCTTCTTTACGAGATATGCAACCTTACATAACTTAAACAGATCTCTTAACAGTAATGGAAAAAATAATATACATTAAAAATCATATTATAATTTAATCAATTACTGTAATCAGCCTAACGATAAAACGCTTTTAACTGATATTAATATCCGTTGAAGTCTTTAATACTGCCTGCATAATTGACTCAGAGGTCGGCTGTAAATGATATGTTTGCCGGTCAATGTTTCACAGGCCTAAAAATAACATTGAATCTCCATTTTTTTCTAAACGCATCCGACTGTCTTTGACGCAAGCACCAATATTATTTCTCCAATGGTCTCGGTAAGGCGAACCTGTTGTTATCAATCGCCATTACTATACGTGGGTACGTTGTTAATGTCGGAGTTGAGGTCGTGTTTAAAATCGTGAAGAAGAGTATGAGCCCGCCTGAGATTCTTGCATGTAAAATACCTGAAGTCAGTTCTGTCCATACTACTTATGTCAAGCCGGACGATATCGATTCCAGACTGTACAAGGTCGCTGCACGATCTCTTCATCTCGCACAAAATTGCTTGCATTGGTTGAACCAGGTTGGCTTCCAATCTGCTTCTTCCGTGACATTTCGATATGGTCAGGTTCAACGTTATTTCAGATATCATGGACAAACCATTTCTGAGTGTGCTAGCCTGTTTTTCAAAAGATAAGAAAATTCATCTGTTTTACCGATATTGAATAGAAGTTATATGTCTTTAGTAATTAAGGTATTGTCATGATGACGGACCTATCACCATTGTTTTTCAGCACAACAAATATAGTTATCGGTGTAAATAAGCAAGGATAAATTCGGCTTAAATTAACTCTGAAGTATGAAAAACTTACTAGGCTTCGTTAAGGAAAACAAAAATATATTTAATTACAAATATAATCTTATTGCAGCGAAGGAGTATTATCTGTGGACTGTTTCGCTAATAAATAACAAAAGTCGTAGTGTGTTTGGTAAATAAAATTATCCCAGTTTAGACTGATAGATTTTCCTATCTCAAAGTGTTCGTTTCATAAAGAAAACTCCGTTTCAAGAAGAAGACTCGATGATGTTATGATACAGTAATGTACTTACCACGCTATGTCCACTAGGTATATACATGTCCATAGGATGTATAGCACATAGACTTCTTCGCATCATCACCCTGTTATCCTAAACATATACCAGTACATATGATTTGTCTAGCTAATCCAAACAACAACAAAATATATTTCTAACATTTCCATGACAAAGTCTAAATGGTCTGATGATATCATTTTCATGGTGAAGCATACATTATCAAAGTTTACACAGATCCAGTAAAACACACTTCTAACGAAACTCATCGGAACTCAAATAATATCTTGATTATTGGCATTAATCAAAAATGTCACTCATTGATAAAAGTACTATCATACTGTGTTCATCATGTAACGTGGTCATGCTAAATGTCTTAAACAAATAGGAATGGAAGTTTTGAATGAATAAGTTCATGGTAAGTATAAAACGTTTGAATGAGCAGTATTGACAACGGGTGTATCAGTGTAACTTGTAAATATTGTAAGTATTCGTGTTGTACATGCGTTTGCGCAGTAAATAGACTATACAGTCTTTCTTAATGTAAGTTTCTTAACGTCAATTACAGCAATCAGCTTCTCATCATAAAGAATGACCACAAACTTTACTTACGAATTCATCTATAGCTTCCCGAATATGGTACCCTGCTAAGGTAAGATATCTGTTTAGATCGTCTATATCACAAATGTTAACTCCCTCCGTTGTTTGTGTCTCCTGGCTCTCACACAAAGCCCTGGTATTAAGGTTAAAGGTTTGAATTCCATCAGCTGTCGTTTGGTTAAACACGGATTCTGCGGGGCAGTAAGCCCTCGATAAAGTTACACATAGGACCAATGCTAACAAAATGGTGAACGTGTCCACTGAAATAGAAATAGAATATTTCATAATCTAAATAGAAGCCAATACAAGAAAAAGTTTATATTTCCCCCCTAATTGGAAAAAAAGCAGTTTTGATCAATGTATTTTTAATATAAATTGAGTCAACTGACTCAAAAGGAAATCTCATGTATTGTGAACAATTTAATAATAAAACCTCCTGGTTTGATTAGAACGGCAAAGGTTATCCTGGTCTTGACAATTATTTATTATCATTGATCATTGTATACAGTATCAAAATCAACCGAATGAAACGAAAGGGTGTGATTGAATAAATTACAGGGGACTTGATCGGAAGTAGATCAGTCAGTAGCCAAATTCAAAATAGGAATTTTGGCCAATTAGAATAAGGGACGAAGTAACAAATGTGACGTAACTCGTACCAGAAAGAAATTTAGCGTGACGACTGACCCTGATTACGTACTTGTTAAAACTCATACGTGATGGACTGAATCAATATTTCCAATAAATATTGATTGACATCTTTTACATATCTATTTTTGTATATTCTAAAGTTCTAGAAAGACGAGCAGCTGTATGATGCAGTGTATTTCGAGTTTGGCATACTGTGACTATTACCAAATTGTAAACGTGTGTCATATGTGTCTTACGTTCATTCTTCTTAACTAAATATCCAGACTTTTAATAACCAATATAATGACAGAAAACTGTAACAGATGTTAATATATAGTTAAGATTCCTGAAAATATTTTTTAAACAAATATAAATGGTACTAATCTTTTCTTTAGATCATTAAATTCGTGTTTTACACACAAATACATATTTATATTATAAATTATAAATTATAAATATCACCCTAAATATTTGTATTGTCAGCCCTATTCTATTTTATAAATATCACATATATATATATTAAAAATGTATCAACCGCTGCCAGTGTGAAAATTTCCACATCGTGATAAGTTAAAATACTCATAACACGAATATTTCCATACACGAGAATTTTCAATATTATTGAACTCAGAATTATTTAAAGAAGCTTAACATCTTGCTATCAATGCATAAAGCATTATACATCTTTCAAAATTAAATAACAATATTGACAGTGGTTCTCTTCTAAAAAGGTGATAAAGTAAAGTATAAATCCCGAAATCTGTCCTGTCTGTATTGTAAACTGGTAAACTAAAACAATAATAATTACAATGCGCCTACATCTAGAATTCCTGCTTGGTTTTGTTAAACAACCATTGAAACAAAGGACAATACTTATTCCGCGTTCTAAAAAGAGCTTTAACGTCTTTTAATCAATACTATTCATAAACACGAAGTGATACTAAGATAAATATATGTAATTCAAAAATAGGTTACAGGTAATTAAAAAAATGAGTTTAAGTATATATTTGTTAATATTGTAAAGTAAAAATCAAATTAAATAGCGAAAGATGTATCTTTGTATAGGTATGACGATAAAAAGGTGTAGGGGAAATTATTGTTAAGCTAACCAAACTTTTCTTAAATAGTGTTCTCATAAAACAAACGAACAGCAAACAATGGCATCAAAGAACGGTGTCCTTATTCGCAAAACGTACACAATAGGTACTGGGTCACTAAGCATACGACATCCAGTATCAAACGACCTATTATTTCCTTAATGAAGTCACAGGTGGGTTTTTTTCAAGTTTATAAATCGACAGGTTTCTAGTCCCGGTTTTTGTCAACGAATTGTATAACAATTACACATTTTACAATCAAATGGATTGCCTTGAGCAAATAACCATGAAATTAGTATATTCTGCGAACTGTCTGTTACAAATATGTCTCAAGTTATTGATAAGGATTAAATTTTGAACATCTTTTATATATTATAGAATGATTCAAGTTAAGTACAGTTATTTCAAAATTAGCATATTAATATATAGTACTATTATTCATTGATTCGAACAAATAAATACGCTTCAAAATTATCTGTTTTTGATAGATACTTTGATAAATAGATAAACATTTCATGGTCTCCATGTGAATATTCTGTGGGTCATCATTTGATCCAGCTTCTTAAATTTCAATTTCAATTTCGGTTTTGTTTAGACCTCGGTATAGTATTGATTGGTGATATATTATACTCACTCGTACTGGTGGAATAAAACCTCAATTCCTTTATGATGATGTCCAAAACGCCACCCTTATATAGTATATGCCGTGCGTTATTTGGAAACCGTCTAAATTAAGCTTTATTACGACGTCATCCTCAAAAATTGGAAATACTACAAAGCATTGTTTTTTAATTGGAAATATTACAAAAAAACGTTATCTATAAAGATCGTTGACATTGAGTGGTTAAAAGATCAGGAAAAGGCAGATATGGTTCAGTGGACCGGTTTTTAACAAAGTTGACTTCCGCCATTTATCAATACATGTTTTAGTTAAATGATACGCACCATTACTTAAACGTACACATCAGCATTTAATGGCAATTACCAAGAATGCTATTGCTATAAAATCTTAGCATGAATTCAGACCTTCCCATAATTCATTGAACGAAAGGCCAATTCGTGTGGACGCATTTTGGGAAGGGTGGGATCCTTATTGTCTTTGGAATTCTCAATTTACAATGCATTACTTCGTGATTGCTTGTCCTTTTATATCGAAGTGTAAATTTTCATACTAAAACTTGTGAAGTATTTAAGTGTTTATTTAACTCCTTGATCTAAGCATTTATTAAACTTCATGATCTAAGTTTTATTTAAGATTTATTTGTTCTACATATTTCTGAGATGAATAATGAGGACTTACTGCCACACAAAGATAATTCAATTCTATCTAGAGACATTTACACAATGTGACTTCCGTCAGTTTAGTATATCCTGGTTTCCTGATCTGATGTCGTATATATGATCTCGTCTGTGGTTTAAACGAGTGTATCCATATTTTCATCAAGTATCTTAAATCAATTTGTATGAATATTTTGCATATATTAATCAAACAGCACCTTATTAAAAATGTTATCTTTCTGATATACATATCATTTTCGTGGGTTTTCTTCTGGTCTTATGATGAAATGTCTTTTCTCTTGAAACTGCTTTCTGTATAAAGTTTTTATAAAAGTAAATTATGAGCAATGAAAATGTTATAGCGCTTAACCATTTTTCCGAGAGAAGGCGTAGTCATAAATGAGCATATTAGAAGTGCAAGGCTAAAAAGAAACGTGATTTTTGAATGCCAGACAACTAAGTCGTATCAGAAAAACGTTGGTTACTTTTCGGGGCTTTTTACATGTTTGTAATACTACTAAATCAAATTTAGTTATAGAAACATTTAAGAAGTTCGGAATGTTTATTATTCATGAACTAGGTTGTAGTTTGAAGCGCATTGTTGGAAAAACCTCAACTTTCAGACTTTTTCTATATTAAAATCCTATATCATATTTTGTTTAAACCTACCATGCATATAAAAGATGAAACACTTAATATAAGCAAAACTTGGAAAAAATTAAGATTTAATTTTATCAGTTTTTGTGTAGGAATCTTCAACATAAAAATATCATGCTTACTATAATAATATTTGCACGCAGCTCATTCGCTGCTTTTTCATCAGGAAAATTATGATTAATATGTTACCTTCGTTTATAAGACTTTAATATGCTAAATGGGCAGGCAAATCAAGACCAAAAATACAAAACTAATCGATAATAGGGCCATATTTACCGAATATTCTTATCATTTACCAAGACTATCCTTTATGTATTAACTGTATGATACATGTGATTTATAGCTTATATAAAGTGAAATATTTACTAACAGCTTATGCTACTATTTTTTACAGTTTCATGTGTGGTCTGATGCCATTTTTTGTAGTAAAATCATCTCTGATTGGTTCATCGGTCAAATTGTCTTTTCCCTTTGAGCTGGTGCCATTTATATACTATGATTGTACGCCATCACACGCACTTGTTGGGAGCATATTAAAATTTGGCGAAACAGAATCAAGGCCCAGAGCTAGCCCTGTATAGTTTGATGTGTATTGCATCGTTCAAAACACTGTCAGTTATTTAAGTGAATATTTGAAATTGTTTGCTTGAGATCTGTAGATAGGTCCTCGATAATTTCCAACATCATTTCAAAATTACAAAGGTATAACCACACTATTATTATTCATTCTGTATATTCCACCAATTATAAACAAAATTCAAAATATTATGCAAAAGATTATGAAATTAAAATCAACTTGTTTGCACTAAGAATGGGATTGTTTTATGTGGAGATTATATTGTTGTGTATGGATAAATTAACTGTATAAGTTAATGGCGCAGGTCAATATTTTAAACCTTACATGCGAATAACCTATACAAAACTTATTATAAGCACAACTCTAAAGCAAATAGGCTACAATCTATTTCGTATTTGGGGGCGAACTTTCAACTTTTATAACATCATTATGCCGACTATAATTGTTTTGCATTAAAGTTTTCCCATGGGATTTCATCAGGAAATCAGAATATCTACACAAAGAAATCGAGTGTTGCTCGTTCAGCTTAAATCCCATTGACATTGTTTTCATATCTTAACATTTGAATGTTATTTTGGTAGATTTTGGAAATAAATCATTATTAAATTGTTATAATTTATAAATTGCAAATAATTGAAATGAATCAATAGCAAATTTGTGATGTGTCATGTGGTTTATTTTCAAAAACTAATAGCAATAGAACAAAGTCACAAATACTTTCACGTATAAATACACAAACACAAGAACGTATCAGAGTAAAATATAATGATAACAATAAATATATCAAATCCAACATAATAATGCACATACTTATCCTGAAATAATTTATGATCAAATGTGATTTTAACCATCATTAAAATCCTTATTATTCGTTTAATAATACATCGCGAATTTGACATGAAATGTTAATACATCTGTTAAATAATCAAGAATAAATAACAAAGATTTAACTGAACAACAAAAACTAAACATGGTTTACGAAATCACACAAAATTTAATTAAACATGATGCAGATAGGATTATTAATAAAAAAAATATATACTAAAATACATAAAATTCTACATAGAATAAAAATGAAAACGCTAATGGTAGAATACACTTATACAACATTTAATAGAGCTTGATAGAGCTTGATAGAGCTTGAGGAAATGTACTTTAGATGTATACTTCAAACTGAACGCTCCAGATAGCCATAAATACATATATCGAACTTGATTTGCGAGAAAAAAAAGTAAAAATATCCAGCTTATTCATTTTTGTTAAATTTGCAATTGTGTATGTTTATTTACATTACGAAATAGCGTAACCATTTATTAACAGTATAAAAACGGTGTTTATTTTTCTTATTTACAGTGTTTTTGTCTTAAGTAACAGTTGTTTTCATCCTGCGAGTAGTATGCGGATTCGTGTCAAAAGAAAATTATTCTTTTTAATATCGTTTTCAAAATAATCAAGTTGTACAAAGTCAAAAAGTAAGAAAACACTTATTTACATATAAACAAACAGGTATTTCAGATGATCCCTTTAAACCTCGTGGAAGTTTGTGCTAAAAATACAACAATATTTGCAAACCTTGTATGACAAACTCGTAAAACGAAACTGCAGTTCGTTTGGAACAATACCACTTGCTTCCTCCAGTATTAAAAACAAAGTCATCAAAACACAGATTCAAAAAGGTATAATATAGTTCAAATAACATGCTTGCACCTCACTAGATAGACCAAGTAAACCACGAAAAAATATAAATGAAATATCATGGTTTCGATACAATTCCATGTCTGCTATTCATATCTCACTGATGTTTACTTAACAGGGGCAACCCTTTGACACAAAGACATAGAAGATTTTTTTATAGAAGTACTGTGAAATCACTAATTTTCGTGTGTTTTATTTTCGTTAATTTCGTTGGTAATCTTGAGCCATGAATTCATAGGTCCACGAAGTAATTACAAGTTTGATATAAAGCAATTATCCGTTTGAGTGGGTCCTCGTAATACACAAATGCATGTACCCACGAAATGGTATTTTGTCGGGAAACCACGAATTTTGGCCCCAAAAAATATATATTATTTCATAGTAGGTGCAACATGTTAAGAGAAAAAAATGACAAATTGTTTATGCATTGATTCATTCATTATGAATGCTTGATAACATGTTATATTGATTTTTATTACATACTTACTAATAAATACGGGTTTTTTGTATATGTGATACGACACAATTGCTCTAACCCATATCAGCCCTCGCCGTATCACACCCCAAAACACGTATCAGCCCCCGCCGTATCACCCCCCCAAAACCCATATCAGCCCGCAAAACCCATATCACACCCCTTTTGGGAAAAAAAATCGTTTTTCAATATTTCAAAAATGAAAATAAATCATAAGATAGTAGTTTTTATTAGTAAGTATGTAATAAACAGAATAAAACACGCCTTTTTCCATATCACACCCAGTATCAATCCTCGACCAATATCAGCCCTCGGGCCTTCGGTGTGATATGAAAAAGGCATGTATTATTCTCTATGAATTGCTTTTAATGATATGATCAACCTTAAACTAGGTTCGGATTGTCTTTCCGGTACAGTTCATTCAATATGAATTACAATTATGTCTGGATTATCCGTTACTTCTTTGAAATAGGTCGTTCATTGAACATTTAAAAACAACACCTTCCAACCAGGAACGCGTTAAATGACATATTCAAGAGAGTCTCAATTTCACCCAAACCTGCAAACTCATTCTCAAACAGTGTATGCACTATCTTATTTCCGAGACTATTCTACAAATATGGGACAAAATCATTCATTTATTCGATATTAATCTTGAAAATTTTCAAAGTCAGTGTTGATGTTGTGTTTAAGATGAGCTATTGCAGAAATGGCCCTCCGCAGATTTCGGCATGTAAAAATAGTGATGTCTGTCCTGTCCATCTCCCGCAATGAAATGCTGGCGCGAAACTTGCTTGGATCAACTGGTCTAGCAAATCTCATCAGTTTTTTCATCTCGCATATAACAGCACGGATTGGCTCGTGGACATTGAACTGAGTTTCGCGTGAAAATCTGGCATGTTGGTGACAATTTACTATGGTCATGTTCAATGCTACCTCCGATAACAGTTCTATACCGTTGACAAGTGTGTCAGCCTGTAAGAAATATTTAACATCATAAACTCGAACATGTAAATTAGGAAAGATACAAAAAGTATAGCCTAAATAATGTATATAATGCCGTAAATATATTCTATATTCAGATTCGTTGTACAATAAAAGTTTATTTCATCTTTAGTGAGAAGAGAAAAAATTGATCTTCCCGAATGTTTACCTGTGCAATTATATTCTGATACCCCTACATTAGTTTGTGCAATTCTACCAAAAGATTATATTGAAGATGTATAATACAACAAATATTTTTGGTTAACGTCTGTAAACTTACCATGCTTATTCCGTTTTGAAAGTCAGAATGGTCGTAAGGATCAATTTCGCATAGTTCTGTCTGGAATAATGCCCTTTGAGCCTTGAAAAAAATAAAGAATTCAGGTTAAACTCTTAATACAGTATAGTCAATTTATGCTACTATTCAGCCAACATTAACTCAGTTGTCCCAATATCCAGTCACCACTATCCCACCTGTCCCAATATCCAGTCACCCCTATTCCACCTGTCCCAATATTCAGTCACCACTATCCAACCTGTCCCAATATCCAGTCACCCCTTTCCCACCTGTCCCAATAACTAGTCACCACTATCCCACCTGTCCCAATATCAAGTCAACACTTTCCCACCTTTCCCGATATCCAGTCATCCCTATCCCACCAGTCAAAATATCCTGTCACATCTATCCCACCTGTCCCACCTGTCCCAATATCCAGTCACCACTATCCCACCTGTCACAATATCCAGTCCCCCCTATCCCACCTGTCTCAATATCCAGTCAACACTATCCAACCTGTCCCAATATCCAGTCAACACTATCCCACCTGTCCCAATATCAAGTCACCCCTATCCCACCTGTCCCAATATCCAGTCACAACTATCCCATCTGTCCCAATATCCAGTCATCCCTATCCCACCAGTCCAAATATCCTGTCACCTCTATCCCACCTGTCCCACCTGTCCCAATATCCAGTCACCATTATCCCACCTGTCACAATATCCAGTCACCCCTATCCCACATGTCTCAATATCCAGTCAACACTATCCAACCTGTCCCAATATCCAGTCCCCACTATCCCCCCTGTCACAATATCCAGTCACCCCTTTCCCACATGTCTCAATATCCATTCAACACTATCCCTCCTGTCCCAATATCAAGTCTCCCCTATCCCACCTGTCCCCATATCCAGTCACCACCATCCCACCTGTCCCAATATCAAGTCACCCCTATCCCACCTGTCCCAATATCCAGTCACCACCATCCCATCTGTCCCAATATCCAGTCACCCCTATCCCTACTGTCCCAATATCCAGTCACCACTATCCCACCTGTCACAATATCCAGTCACCCCTATCCCACCTGTCTCAATATCCAGTCAACACTATCCAACCTGTCCCAATATCCAGTCAACACTATCCCACCTGTCCCAATATCAAGTCATCCCTATCCCACCTGTCCCAATATCAAGTCACCCCTATCCCAGCTGTCCCAATATCCAGTCACCACTATCGCACCTGTCCCAATATCAAGTCACCCCTATCCCAGCTGTCCCAATATTTAGTCAACACTATCCCACCTGTCCCAATATCCAGTCAACACTATCCCACCTGTCCCAGTATCAAGTCACCACTACTCCAGGTATCCTATTATCCAGCCGGTACTTTTCGTAACAGGTCTTTTTTAGAGATTGTTTTTTCTGAATGTTAATGGGAACGCCGGTGACAGAATTGTCTACTGTGAACGAAGGCCACATGATCATCTACTGAGAACGAAGGTGACTGAATTTGTGAACAGGTAAGAAAAATAATTGAGTTACCAATATATCAAAACACATGTTGAAGAAATAGAGCAATGTAATTGTTAAATGAGCGATAAACCAAGATAAAACATGTAATGTGATTATCAAAGGAACGTTGAACATTACATCAATTCATATTCGTCATTTGAATCGATACGTTTGGGATAAATTTGACAATGTACATGTAATATTGTGTATACTTACTAGTTCGTTCGCTGTTTCCCGGAGGATATTCTCGGCCTGTGACATCATCTCATTGAGAGATTCTACGTAGCGAACAGGAACGGAAGAAATTCCGGTGGTTTGGGAACAAGACAGAGATCTGTCAGAGGTGAAAACGTCAAATCCAAGACCGTGTAGGCGTTGGTGGGTAAAACCAAGTCCATTGGGGCAGGAAGAGGAGGCCACCCTCATCCAAAGCATAAGTAGGGTGGTAACTATTGTGATGTTTGCTGGGAAAAAAATATAAAGGGTAAAGGAAAAACCTGACACAATCATACCCAATGGGAAATCGTCAACTTAGATCAACTCGGATATGAAATAAAAGAACATATGCAGAAACTAAAATAAAAGGAATGACAACAAGAGAATAATAGTTCTAAACACAAATCTACATTAGAAAACAACATTATAAGCTCTGCCTCACGTGCATTCTATAAAATATCTATAACCTCCTGTTCATTACCATGAAGCTTATTCTTTCTATAAAATACCTCTTTGTAGTAGCATCTATTATTGTGCTTTTTATCGCAGGATTTTTATAAACACGTTCGACTTGAAGTAATATATGGGTTTAATATAGGAGAACTTAAACAATCTTATCTTTGATAAGAATACATACTATCCCGAAACATAATTGATTAAATAAATTGATTTAGATAGGAAACAAAGAATGGAGATATACAGAAGAAGCCTGTCATAGTGGCCAACAACTCTGACAATATGTTTCCCATAATGCGAAAATGATCCTTCCTTTAATTCTTGGTACTGGTATATAAATATAGATTTTCTTGTTATGTCCTACTTTCTGGTCAACGGAAGTAGTAATAGAAATGTACTTTAAATATTTCGGAGGTATTCGAATAAAGCTTAATTAGTTTCGAGCCAAATTTTCAAACTAATATATTTTCAACCACTTCACCAAAATATTAGGGTTGCGTTACATGATACTTGACGATGACCTCTTTTATTTATATCCATGCTTTCTTTTTAGTTTCGAAAGTCATGAAACATCGATTAATGTTAATTTGAAAAAAAAAGGAAAAAAAATGTTTTGGAAATGACTCGTAAAGCTAGCCATACTTTCAACACTGAGCCCTGATTGTCCATTGTACTCTATGCACTGCTTACTAAATAACTGGGAAGTGGGTCGTGACAAATAGACAATGACAATGTAAGAGATATTATATGTTATTGTATCAAAAATGTTTTCTAACAATAGATTTAGAAATATACAGTAATAACATGTTTTGTACAAAATTATAAATATCAGCTGATTACAACTTATTACTAATTTTTCGATAATGAAATATTGTGCTATTGTACGCAATAATTGACGTAGCATGCTTGCAACCTGTTAATGCGTGAATGTGCAATATAAGTTAAAGGTTTGTAATTTATATATTTTTAAGATGATAATTGACAGCTTTGTGTACTGCCCTATATGATCCTTGAAAAAACAAAACATTTTTGCACATGCACCAAATATATGCACAACTACTTATTTGTTTAAAATTACTTACAAATTAACGCCATTCTGCTTTGAAATAGATTTAGAATATATCTTTTTTTTCCCGGTCTGAGCTATTTAATGGTTTAGAATCGGGAAATTCCATTGGGGATCCAGAATATCTCGCAAATCGTTTACAGAGAATGGAGCAGCATTGTCGTGAGTATTGATCATCTACCCCCACATCCACCCACTATCCCATACTCAACACGGGAATGCATCACACAGCATCCTTCAGGTATTAACGTACTATGGGATTTATTTTATGAATGCTTTTTTTTATTTTAAGATTTGGTGTTTTCCACATGGCGTCCTTGTAAAGTAATGATCACCGCCGTCGTAATGTACACTTACTAAGCATTTGAAATATTTCATTCCAAGTTACCAACAGATCAACATTTAACAAAGACTTGGTCTTGATAAATCTTCTCGTTAGCCGGAGCGTTTATAATTTACGAGCTACTGAGAACAAAGGTTTGTATCGGAAATCGGACATACTATTACAATCTAGAATCATACTGATAAAATATGTCGTGTTTTGGTAATTGACCAATTAGAAGTTCTGTTACAATTCAGTTAGTTAGACAAAAACATAGTTGGGGTTGTTTCCGAACTACAAATTTTGCATACATTAATTTCCCTCTTTGTATGCAGATTCTTTAACAAACTAAAGTTTGTAACATTTTCTTACAACTTAATTGATAGCAATGGCATATAAGCATATATTAACAGTTAAAATTCATTTTAGAAATTGCTGGCAGCACTCTAAAATTGTTAAATTTCAAAAAGAAGACGGAAAAGGTTGTGATTATCAATCGGCTTTCAAAATACTTCAGCGACAGTTTTTACACAGTTTACGGGGGATGATGTCAAGTTTTGATCGGCAATTATGTCGCAACAACTACGGTCACACAATTGCTAGCAGCCCTATGTTTGCCCAAGTGCGCGAGGTTATGAAAAGTAAACAGCGTCAGTTGAAACGCCACGGAAAAGGCAATTTAGCACACAGAAGTGATCCAATAATGACACTGAAATCGACATGCTGTGGAATTCTGCCCAACTAGTTTCGAACACACCTGACAGCTTACTACAAACTTTGTGGTTTTATAATACCGTTCATTTTGGTCTCCCGGACTCGGCAGAACATAGGGACATGTGTTGGGTTGACGTAACTCTTGGAAAAAGATGGGGATAGACAAGAATTTACTGAACGCCAAACAAAAACAAGAATGGGAGAAAATCCTCGTGATATTAGAGCTGTTAAACCGAAATTTTGGTCAAATCTTGAAAACCCTGACAGGTGCCCTGTGACAAATTAGAAACTATACCGTGAAAAACGCCCGACTGGCTACGGTGCCCCATCTGATCCTTTTTACGCACCACCCTTACAAATATCATCGCCTAATAATCCAATTTGGTTCAAGAAACAGCCAGTAGGAGTCAATAAATTGTGCACCATGATGCAAAGAAAGAGAAAGTTGGTGGGAATCGAAACTGAAAAACATCTGTCAAATCACAGCGCTCGGAAATATCTTGTTCAAAAACTCAGTGACAGTAATGTTCCCCCAACCAAATTACGCAAATTTCAGAACACCAGAACATTTCATTAATAAACAACTTTAGTCATATCAACACAGATCAACACAGGCACATTTCAAGAATTCTGAGCTCCGGAAAAGCCGTTCTCTCACCTGCCAACATGTCAACGCCGTCAAGAAGGCCTATGTCCACGTGTTTCACAAAATCGTCAAGTTCTTCATCTTCGATGTCAGAGATAAGCGGCGGTTTTGAATAAATTTTCAGTGGTCCGATTAGTGGAGGGAACAATAAAATTAATATAAACCAAGGTTGTCAAATCAGAACCACCACAAAAACGTATCCGAAAAGCTTTCATTGAAAGTGACAGCGACTCTCAGTAGGCCGCTGTGATTGCTTGAAACGGCATATGAGGCGTGACGTCACAAAATTTTGAACTTTATAAAGTGATTTTTTTCTGATAAATTTTCATGTCTTGACTAATAAATGAATTGGAAATGTCAATTTTGTCATTGTTATTTTCATTGAATTTAAACCTGTTCATAATTTAAATAAACACATCTGGAACTACTTTTCATTGCGCGGAACGGCACTACTATGATCGGGATACTTTGGTTTTGACCTATATAGAGTCAGCTGATTAACAAATAGTTGTGTTTGAATTTGTTTCAAATTATGATTGTTATGTGATAAATAGAATCTTACACTCGTGTCGATGTCATATTGAATTTATTAAACTCGTTCAATAAATCGATATGACACTCGACTTATATTTGAATGTTATTTTGGTGAATTTTGGAAATAAATCATTAACAAATTGTTATAATTGTAAATTGTAAATAATTGAAATGAATCAATAGAGAATTTAATGCATGCGTCATGTGGTTTATTTTCAAAAACTAATATCAATAGAACAAAGTCACAAACGCTTTCACGTATAAATACACAAACACATCAACGTATCAGAGTAAAATATAATGATAACAATAAATATATCAAATCCATCATAAAAATAATAATGCACATACTTATCCTGAAATAATTAATGATCAAATGTGATTTTAACCATCATTAAAATCCTTATTATTCGTTTAATAATACATCGCGAATTTGACATGAAATAATAATAAAAGTTTATTTTATCTTTTGTTAGAAGAGAAAAAATTCAGTCACCGCTATCCAATCTGTCCCAATATCCAGTCACCACATTCCCACCTGTCCTAATAACCAATCACCACTATCCCACCTGTCCAAATATCCAGTCAACACTACCCCACCTTTCCCAATATCCAGTCACCCCTATCCCACCCGTCCAAATATCCAGTCACCCCTATCCCACCTGTCCCACCAGTCCAAATATCCAGTCAACACTATCCCTCCCTTCCCAATATCCAGTCATCCCTATCCCACTTGTCCAAATATCCAGTCAGCGCTATCCCACCTGTCACAATAACCAGTCACCACTATCCCACCTGTCCCAATATCCAGTCATCCCTATCCCACCAGTCCCAATATCCAGTCACCCCTATCCCACCTGTCCCAATATCAAGTCATCCCTATCAAACCTGTCCCAATATGATGTCACCCCTATCCCGGCTGACCCAATATCCAGTCAACACTATCCCACCTGTCCCAATATCCAGTTAACACTAGCCAACCTGTCCCAATGTCCAGTCACCACTATCCCACCTGTCCCAATATCAAGTCATCCCTATCCCACCTGTCCCAATATCAAGTCACCCCTATCCCACCTGTCCCAATATCCAGTCACCCCTATCCCACCAGTCCAAATATCCAGTCAACCCTATCCCAGCTGTCACAATATCCAGTCAACACTATCCCACCTGTCCCAATATCTAGTTATCACTATCCAACCTGTCCCAATGTCCAGTCACCACTCTCCCACCTGTCCCAATATCAAGTCATCCCTATCCCACCTGTCCCAATATCAAGTCACCCCTATCCCACCTGTCCCAATATCCAGTCAACACTCCCCCACCTTTCCCAATATCCAGTCACCCCTATCCCACCAGTCCAAATATCCAGTCAACACTACCCCACCTGTCACAATATCCAGTCACCCCTATCCCTCCTGTCCCAATATCCAGTCAACCCTATCCAACCTGTCCCAATGTCCAGTCACCACTATCCCACCTGTCCCAATATCAAGTCACCCCTATCCCACCTGTCCCAATATCCAGTCAACACTACCCAACCTGTCCCAATGTCCAGTCACCACTATCCCACCTGTCCCAATATCAAGTCATCCCTATCAAACCTGTCCCAATCTCAAGTCACCCCTATCCCAGCTGTCCCAATATCCAATCACCCCTATCCCACCTGTCCCAATATCCAGTCACCACTATCACACCTGTCCCAATATCAAGTCACCCCTATCCCAGCTGTCCCAATATCCAGTCAACACTATCCCACCTGTCCCAATATCTAGTTATCACTATCCAACCTGTCCCAATGTCCAGTCACCACTCTCCCACCTGTCCCAATATCAAGTCATCCCTATCCCACCTGTCCCAATATCAAGTCACCCCTATCCCACCTGTCCCAATATCCAGTCACCACTATCACACCTGTCCCAATATCAAGTCACCCCTATCCCAGCTGTCCCAATATCCAATCACCACTATCCCACCTGTCCCAATATCCAGTCCCCCCTATCCCACCTGTCCCAATATCCAGTCACGACTATCACACCTGTCCCAATATCAAGTCACCCCTATCCCAGCTGTCCCAATATCCAGTCAACACTATCCCACCTGTCCCAATATCCAGTCAACACTCCCCCACCTTTCCCAATATCCAGTCACCCCTATCCCAACCGTCCAAATATCCGGTCACCCCTATCCCAACTGTCCCAATATCCAGTCACCACTATCCCTCCCTTCCTAATATCCAGTCATCTCTATCCCACTTGTCCAAATATCCAGTCAACCCTATCCCACCTGTCCCAATATCCAGTTAACACTAGCCAACCTGTCCCAATGTCCAGTCACCACTATCCCACCTGTCCCAATATCCAGTCACCCCTATCCCACCAGTCCAAATATCCAGTCAACACTACCCCACCTGTCACAATATCCAGTCACCCCTATCCCACCTGTCCCAATATCCAGTCAACACTATCCACCTGTCCCAATTTCAAGTCACCACTACTCCAGTTATCCTATTATCCAGCCGGTACTTTTCGTAACAGGTATTTTTTAAGAGATTGTTTTTTCTGAATGTTAATAGGAACGCCGGTGACAGAATTGTCTTTTGTTAACGAAGGCCACATGATCATCTACTCAGAACGAAGTTGACTGAATTTGTGAACAGGTAAGAAAAATAATTGAGTTACCAATATATCAAAACATATGTTGAAGAAATAGAGCAATGTAATTGTTAAATGAGCGATAAACCAAGATAAAACATGTAATGTGATTATCAAAGGAACGTGGAACATTACATCAATTCATATTCGCCATTTGAATCGATACGTTTGGAATAGATTTGACATGTACACGTAATATTGTGTATACTTACTAGTTCGTTCGCTGTTTCCCGGAGGATATTCTCGGCCTGAGACATCAGCTCATTGAGGGATTCTACGTAGCAAACAGGAACGGAAGAGATTCCGGTGATTTGGGAACAAGACAGAGATGTGTCATAGGTGAAAACGTCAAATCCAAGAACGTGTAGGCGTTGGTGGGTAAAACCAAGTCCATTGGGGCAGGAAGAGGAGGCCACCCTCATCCAAAGCATAAGTAGGGTGGTAACTATTGTGATGTTTGCTGGAAAAAAATATAAAGGGTAAAGGAAAAACCTGACACAATCATACCCAATGGGAAATCGTCAACTTAGATCAACTCGGATATGAAATAAAAGAACATATGCAGAAACTAAAATAAAAGGAATGACAACAAGAGAATAATAGTTCTAAACACAAATCTACATTAGAAAACAACATTATAAGCTCTGCCTCACGTGCATTCTATAAAATATCTATAACCTCCTGTTCATTACCATGAAGCTGATTCTTTCTATAAAATACCTCTTTGTAGTAGCATCTGTTATTGTGCTTTTTATCGCAGGATTTTTATAAACACGTTCGACTTGAAGTAATATATGGGTTTAATATAGGAGAACTTAAACAATCTTATCTTTGATAAGAATACATACTATCCCGAAACATAATTGATTAAATAAATTGATTTAGATAGGAAACAAAGAATGGAGATATACAGAAGAAGCCTGTCATAGTGGCCGACAACTCTGACAATATGTTTCCCATAATGCGAAAATGATCCTTCCTTTAATTCTTGTTACTGGTATATAAATATAGATTTTCTTTTTATGTCCTACTTTCTGGTCAACGGAAGTAGTGATAGAAATGTACTTAAAAAAAATTCGGAGGTAGTCGAATAAAGCTTAATTAGTTTCGAGCCAAATTTTCAAACTAATTTGTTTTCAACCACATCACCAAAATATTAGGGTTGCGTTACATGATACTTGACGATGACCTCTTTTATTTATATCCATGCTTTCTTTTTAGTTTCGAAAGTCATGAAACATCGATAAATGTTAATTTGAAGAAGAAAAAAATAAAATTGTTTTGGAAATGACTCGTAAAGCTAGCCATACTTTCAACACTGAGCCCTTATTGTCCATTGTACTCTATGCACTGCTTACTAAATAACTGGGAAGTGGGTCGTGACAAATAGACAATGACAATGTAAGAGATATAATATGTTATTGTATCAAAAATGTTTTCTAACAATAGATTTAGAAATATACAGTAATAACATATGTTTTGTACAAAATTATAAATATCAGCTGATTACAACTTATTACTAATTTTTCGATAATGAAATATTGTGCTATTGTACGCAATAATTGACGTAGCATGCTTGCAACCTGTTAATGCGTGAATGTGCAATATAAGTAAAAGGTTTGTAATTTATCTATTTTTAAGATGATGATTGACAGCTTTTGTGTACTGCCCTATATGATCTTTGAAAAAACAAAACATTTTTGCACATGCAGCAAATGAATATATCTTTTTTTTCTCGGTCTGAGCTATTTAATGGTTTAGATTCGGGAAATTCCATTGGGGATCCAGAATATCTCGCAAATCGTTTACAGAGAATGGGAGCAGCATTGTCGTAAGTATTGATCATCTACCCCCACATCCACCCACTATCCCATACTCAACACGGGAATGCATCACACAGCATCCTTCAGGTATTAACGTACTATGGGAC